CAACAGGGCAGAAAATTCACACGGGCATTCTACCACAGAATCGCATACAAGTAAGCGAAATAGAAACATTGCAAGGCAGCATCCAAGTTTCAAAAATAAATCAGAACAGAAAATGAACGTAGCAACGAAATTTTGAAATACAGAGATGTCTTGAAATTTCAAAGTCAGTTGCTTGTTTCTTGCTTTGGTATGTGGCAATGAATATTTGATGAGTTGAATCATACTTCAGAGAGATATAGAAATGGTTGCTAAGATGAAAAGAAATGAATTGTTTGTGTTGCATCTTCTAGTCAATCTTGCAAAAAAACAAAGATGTGAAATAAGACTCAGCGTGATTTTAAAAATATGTTTCAGGCAGACAGAATTACCGTTTCTAGATCATATATTTCAGTCTAGGGAATAAAATGAACGGAATTTTCAGTGATTCTGAGTCAGAAGGTGAATCACATGCAGAAATTGAAGATGGATCCGAATCTGAAGAATATAGTAATTATGTTATGAAGGACTCCATATAAGTTCCCAATGATAAAAATACTTCTCCAAATCCTACTTCAAGTGTTGACATTATTGTTAATAAATATATTATTTCAAAGCTTCGAACAATTCCGGTGTCTTGTTTTTTTTTCAAAGTGGCCCCGTCCTTCTCAAGTGATGACTTATCGAGATTTGATTCTAATATAATTCAAAGTAGATTAGTTTCGAAATCATTGATAAGACTGAGTCGATCTTTGTTCAGGAGTTATACTCAAATTGATCGTTTTGAAGATGATGAAATGATTCCGACAGAAAATAGAAAAAGGTTTTGAAGAAATATTCAAACTCGATTGATATAGTTTTTCGTCCAGTAACATCCAGATATAATTATTATATTGGACATGTTCGATAGATTTCCATATAAAATATTCAAAATAAGAGTAAAACATTGAACTGACAAGAATATTTGTAACATGAACGATAGTCTAATTATCACTGCATAACAATTACAAAATCAAAATTTCAATTTGAGACTTGTTTATGTTGAATAATATGTTTTTTCGATCTAAACCGAGCTTCAAAATATTTCTCTTTTAGGCATGCACCGAGAATGAAAATTCAGTTTTTCTCTTTTTTTGTAGAAATAACATGAAGCGTCGAAAGAAGAACTTCGTATTTTTGTTTTTTGGAGCGTGTAGGATTGCAGAGCAAACAATTTTCTACAAGATAAAACGTCACCCGAGGTTCGTGCAATGGACAGTTTAACTTTTATGACAGTTTTACGGAGAGCCCTGATCGAGAACGAACCCGAAAATCCAAGGTTTGATCTTGATCGAGACTCTGTAAAATCGCAATAAAAAACGGAATCGTAAGTGGTACAAACCTCGTCGGAACATTATTTTGTAGAAAACTATTTGCTCTACAACTCCGAAACTTTGACAATATTCTGCCGCATTGCATATTTTAAGTGTATCCTTCCTACGGAAATACAAAAAAAATCGGGAAATTCTCAGTGCATGCCTATCCTCTTTTAGAATTTTTAAATATAAAATATTGGTTTATGTAAATGAATGTTACTCGATGCATCATTACATTTTGCTTCATTTAGTCAATCACAATTAGTTTAGTTTCTTGGAAGTTATATATGTAATTGCTCATTTTCTCAACGATGATCTGTATAGTAGGAAAATTTTTTCAAAATCATTGAATATTTTCCTCAATTGAATCAAAAAAAGAAATTTTTGACTGAGAAACATGAACGAATAGAAGTTCTGTATAAGAATTCTTGCCCAGGGAGCTAAAAAATCAACAAAATGCCATTAAAATAATGAAACGGACAAAAAAATTGATCTATTTCAAAATCATCGATTAAAATAGACATTTTCATTGATTTCATTGAATGGTTTTGATAAAAACTGAAATTTACTGCATTTGCTTAATTAAAATAGCGCTTTTCATCAATGATTTTGAAAAACGTCAATTCTTTTGTCCGTTTCATCATCAAAAATGCCATCTTTTTCGTGTTTTTGATATAAAATTCACGAAAGTCATGAAATTTTTTTGATTTTTTGACTTCATGGGTGTTGTGATATTAGTTGTAAATAGGGAATAGACTAATTTGTTTTGATCTTTGAAAGACATAAAATGTTGTGTTAAAAAAGAGCAAAACTAGTTTGCTAAATTTACCTAGACTTGTCATGACAAAATAGACCATAATTGAAATAATTCCATAGGAAACGAGAGAACCACCAGGACCTGCTGATGCTAAAGCTTGACCAGAAGCCAAAAATAAGCCAGTTCCAATAGTTCCACCTAATGCAATCATAATCATATGTCGTTCCTTTAAATTTCTATGTAAACCCTTTTCGTCTGGTGATACTAAAATTATATTATCACCATAACTATTTTCATAAGGATTATTTGATGCTCCATTTGCGAATTTTTTCGGAAAAATATTTCTGAACGCTCTCGTAATAATGTTTGTCTAAAACAAAACAAAGAAAAATTGACTAATTCGCGAAAAATTCATTTGTACTTAAACGTACATGATGTCCATTATTATTAAATTGACCATTATTTATAGTTAATGAATCTTCATTTGTCGACGTTGATGAGATGCAACTAATCTAGAATGCAAATGGTTTCATTTTCGAAAAAATCACTTATAATTTCTTATACCGGTATTCCATCGCCGCCCAAACTATTGTTAACATTTGTCTTCATTATGTTTATCTAAAAAATAAAATAATGAGTTTTATTCTTGGCATTAATATATGGAACAAATGAGTTTCATCATTTTTTATAATAACATTTTATCTTCGAAAATATGCTTTGTAGTTGTTGTTGTTATTGTTGCTTCTATGCATAATTAAAAGATCTCTACCTTTTCTGTTTCTATTCTTATCAGATAGCAAAATGATGCATCTTGTTTTTTTTTTACTTTTTCTCAATATACCTACTGAAGAGGACAGATAGAATATATGTTGCCTTTTTCTTTATCTTTTCAGAAAAAATAATGGCAATGTAGGACACTAACAGACAAGTACTGTAACCAGTGAATATTTGTTATCATCATGACAAAGATGAGATCACGAAATGAGTACGTGTTCTGTCTTTTTTTTTCATCTGTACTCTTTCCTATTTAAAATGACTTGACCTGGGCAATATTCAAAGTGCAAATTCTTCTAGCATTTACTGATAATAAGTTTACATTTAAAATTGTTCGAGATATATTTCGATTATTTTCTGTTAACTCTTTGTAGCAGTTACACAAAAGAAAATTCGTCTAATAATGATGGTTATTTGCAAACTGATTCTACAAATAAAATAATAATTACAAAAATAAACATGGTCGATTTATATCTAGTCACAAAATCGACAAGAATAAATTTAATAATGATATCTAACATCTATTACAGCTCCTCTTTATGAATAAAAATGATCTTATTCAAATATACAGCCCTAAAAAAAATTTCTGAGACACTCGAAAACAATTTTTCAATACTTTATGTTTAAGCTGGCTCGGACTTTAAAAATATGTTTGGTATTGTTATTGGTGAAGCTTTCATATTTTATTGAGCAAACGAAATATTGTCATTTGATACTAGCAAAATATTGTCAAGCATAAAATCTCTAGCGGCAAAAATTTCTAGGACAATTTTTGTTCTGTTCATCAATTGACTTTTTTCGATTGCAAATATCATCATTGGAAAGAACATAAAAACTAAGTATAATATGTTTTCATTTTCGAGATCATAGAAAGTAGATGCGTTGGGTGTGGGTGTGGGTGGGTGTAATTAAACAGGGAGATGATGCTCACCCACACTCTCATTTCTCAATAATATAAATTATCTAGAAAACAATTTCTTTATATTTAAGAAAATCGAAAGATTCTTCATAAGGAATTAATTCATGTGAAAAAATTATCAATAACAACGACTGCTTCAATTAAAATACATCATTCATAACTTGTCGTTGGTAAAAGAAAATGATCTATGATTTATTTCTGAAATTTCTTAGAAAAAAATACATTAGAGTCTTTCTTGAAACTGGTCGTCCGTATATTAGTTTTGGTTTTGTCGATGATTTTGTTATGCTTGTTGCGATAACTTGAGATGAGTTTTTCATTTAGCTTACAAATATTTAGTCATATTCAGGGCGAAATTATTGAAACATTTGTCGGTGCTGTTTTTTGTCCTTCTACAACGGCAAGTAACCAAATATAGGAATCGAAGAAGAAAAAAATTCCACACGCTTTTCATTTTAAAGCTGCTGGATTTGGAAATGCTGTCAGTGATATTATGGGTATGAGAGTAAGGGAATTTCGCTAGACATGATCTGTGGATTCGGATGATAGAAGATTTGTATTGTATATAGTCTTGTATTCGGAAATGATTTACCGAAATTAACTAGAGCTCAATGGGAATTACAATCGGTGCATGTAACACAATTTTTGGTGAGATGAATTCAAATTTTTTGTTTATGTTGATTGTTATTTCTTATTCGTTTTATGAATATTTAGGCGAAAGTCATTTGTATTTTTTTTTTGGTAAATGTTAATTATCATTTCATTTTATTTATTAAATTTGTTTTTCTTTTTTCAATAGGATGTGCATTAGCTAAGGGATATTAATGTCTTTTTTTCTTAATTAATAGTGATTTTGCATATAATAGGGATGTGTTCATTACTTCTTCGTGATACTTCTGCAACCAAAACTAAATCAACAGAAAGAGATGAGGATTAATCGCAGCATGATATGAAAAGTACGTAAATGGTCAGGAAATAAATACAGTATAACAATATGATATTTTGTCAGCATGTTTCTCTTACATTAACACATTATTTATATAAGTCGGGATCTTTCTAGTCAGTCTTGACTAATTAAAATCAATTTACTTTTATAGATGAATCGTATAAAAAAGAATATTCTTAGTATTTATATTATGAATAGAATCAATAAATTTTTTCATCAAAAAATTCATTAAATATATGAATATCATATTATGATTTTTATTTAAAGATAATGTCAAAAATAAATAAACCGAAAAAAATTTTCTACAACTTGATTTAATTCTTGTTTAAAAATAAGATAAGTTATTAAACTAATAAAAACAAAAATAAAATTTGAATTTAAACAATTGATATGATTTTTTGATGATTTAATAAATTTTTTATAACATTTTTGTAAAAATGTGTGAACTTGTAAAATCTGCTCATCATTTGACAACATATTTTGACATTTTATTTTTAATGGTGTTAAACATTGAATATATTGAAAAGCATGATGACATATTGTTCGATTAAGTATTAATAATGATTGATTCCAATATCCACAAGATTCGATAGCAACATTTTTTCGACAATGATATTCAACAGCTATTGTTGTTCGACGTTTTTTTTGTTTACGTCTACGAGGTTTTTTTGTTGTTGTATGTCGTGTGCGTGGAAGTCGTCGTGGTATTCGTATTCCATCATGAAGATCATGACAACCATGTGATGTTGCTTGGATTAAATAAACTTTAAATGTTAATTTTAAAGTTTCTAGAAAAGACAAAAAGATTTAATGACAATAAAAAAAAATCGTAGAATTTGCTTTGAATTATAATCAAATGTGGAAGAACTTAGAATTTGGCATTTGATTCGTTGATTTTCGATTTAATTTATGTATTAATGGAGAAATGCTAATGTTAATGATTAAGAAAATAATCTGGATAAAAATTATAATTCAAATGAGTTTTAAATGTTTTAGTTCAAGAACTTTGCATTTGAGAACTATTGAATGTAACCAAAAGCATGCATATCTAATAGTCACTTGATCAAGTCAAACATTGAACTAAATACTCAGAATAGTTCAATTTGTGCTTTTATTCTTTATAAAGTTTAGCTCAATGAATACCATTGCCACACAATAAAAGAATGAAATCAAAACCTTAAGAACAGTTGGTCACATCGATTCACGTCAAAGGAAAAGCAAAACTCTTCCTCATGTATTTTTTCCTAAGAGATCTAATCCAACAATTCGATCAAGATTCTATAAAATTCGGTTGAATACTATAGGAATATTGTCTGAAACCAGATGACAGAATTACATCTGGATTAGTAGTGTTGAAATCTGATCGAATCGTACTGTTCGAATCCGATTGATTACCACTGTCGAAACCTGATGAGATTCCACCGTAGGAAATCGATAGAATTCCTAGTATTGAAATCTAATATTAATGAAGTGAACACTAATTAAGTGTACTGAAACCAAAAAAACTTAACTCCTAATTGTGAGTTTACATTTCGAGCTCACGTTTTCTGACCTTCTCAAGGTAATTCAGTCTTGACTCATTTACGTCTAAATGACTGGGTAAGTGAACTAACATCTCTCTATATATATACATGTAGTCATCTACGCATATCTCATTCGCGAACGTCGAAAACATTCATCTATGTATATCTCGTCTGCCGATGCATATTAAATTCGAGTACCGAGCCTCATTGGATATATGCCGAAATCTAACTGTCGAATCCCTTGGTAATTTTGTGAGCCAAATTCCCATCGAGTTTTGTCGGATGATCAGATCTCACAGGATCAGATCTGATTTATTTGTCTGCATTTTGTATTTGAAATGTTTATTTTCAACAAACACTTATCGACATGCTTTATTTTTGTTAAAAATTTTTTTTATAATCATAGAGTACATAGAAACAGAATAATTCTTTTCCTACATACAAAGACATTTTACTCTCTTATATTTAAAATAAAGCGAAATATAGAAAGAATATTATTTACATATAGATCTATGTTAATCAAATAAATTTCTTGTTTTTTTTGCTTTCGTCAACATTGATAACTCATTAAATATTCCCTTTCCAATCAAATGAAAACGATGTTTGTTCTACATGATCAAAAATACAAAGTTTTTTTTTTACCTCATCAGATGCATCAGAGGATATTTCTTTTTTTTAGTCTTTCAACAATAAATATTCAATATTTACTTATTATATTCGATCAAAAAGATTGATCTTCAACCTACCTAAAGCTGGACCATATTCTTGAACTTCAGTACAATTTTCTAAACGTCTATTCACACAATCAACATGTTTTTTAGCTTCACGACAAAATTCGGCAACATTTATTTTGATTGTAACCGGTGGTAATGGACACTTTTAAATTAAACACAAGAGAAATTATTGATTAAAACAACAAAAAAAAAATATTTTATACTTTATTATAAAAAAATATATCGCATGAACCATAAACACAAACATTTGTAATCATTAATAAGAATAAAAAACAATTTATAATGATAATTTTATACATTTGTTCGTTGTCTCCATGCAGAAAAAAAAATAAACGAGACAATAAGTCAAATATTGTAACATGTCTTTCGTTTTCTTTATGTTAATCCTCATTTGTTTCGTGTCTCATATGAAAGTAAACATATGAAATCGTTCAATTAAAATATAAACTTCATTTCCAAAATAGAATTTGGTGGTTTTTTTCTCACATCAACTTCAATTTATATGCTTGTCGGGCATACTGAAAGAAATGACTCAATTATAGAAAAAAGAAAGAAAAAAAACGGTCACTATAAGGGGAAAAAAAAAGAAGTGAATAGACTAGAAGAAAAAAAACACATAAAGACACAACATTTCACCAAGCAGATTTATTTTGATGTGAAGAAATAATAAAAAAATAAGGGTAGCAATTATTTGATTATTCAATCTTCTTCATTCATATTATTTTCAATGTTGCCAAATATTATAATCATACTTCTGTTATTCTATGTTTGGTTTCTATGTTCTACTATTAATACATTTACAACAAATTCTTTTAATCGTAAAGTATGGGGTGGCGATGATAACATTTTTCATATAAATCAAGGAGAATTTCAAACAGTTTTTCAGCAATATCGAAATGTCAATGAACAGTATGTGAAGACGATAGTTTTTTTTTTAATTTTAAAAATGAAGCATTTTCTTAACAGAATAGAAGAATCAATTGTGAACTATCTAAGACTTTCTTAGCACTTTTTTTTCTTTTTTTTATAAAAATAATTAGAAAAATTATGTGTATAGGTTTTTTCTACTATCTAAATATAATTCCAATAGAACGCTACAACAAATTTACTTATAAATTTTTTTTTTTTCTAATTCTTCAAAAATTTTAAAAGAGCACCTGTATCGACCTATAAATGATTGCTTATAAGTACGCATTATATTTACTCATATGTTTTTAAAATTTGCAAACTATTGTTCGAAACCATTAAGTATCTAATTATAGTGCATTGTTATATGAAAATAACTACTTTGCTAAGATATTCCAACTAGTTATTTTTTCATATTGTTAAATATATATCAGAAAAAAATGTTTTTTTTTCTTCAAAATTTTCTTATCAATCAACCTTATTCATACTCGATAGCACGATTTTCATAATATGTATTTATAATGCTTTCTTTTATTAAATACTTTTGAGAATAAAAATTCAAGAATCTCCAACTTCATATAAAACAAAATCTGAAGATAAGGGTTTAGCTTCCTTCTTCAAAAATTGATCTTGGTCCAGGTACATTTAAATCGCATGAAATTTTCAGGATACATTGAGACTGTTAGTGGAGAATCTATGGTAAAATTTTTAATCCTATATCATGACGTTTTCACGACATATTCGCCCAACTAGTGTCAAAAATAGCTCATTTGGCAACTCAATGTCTTCTATAAACCTTCATTCTATATACTTTATTCTTTTTGTTTCAAAGAGTATGTCAGGATGCAGGACATGACGCAGCTCCCTTTTTTTTTATTTTTACTTTTGTAAGGGAAGAAAGGATCAATGTCCCAAAGAATAAAGTTCTATCTATAAAACTACTCTTTAATATATAATAGTAACAGAATTGAATTCAAAAAAAGGACTCTGTCATGCCTTTCATCTTGACATGCACTTTCATCTTGACATGCACTTGCAAGCAAAAATAAGCTATTGGTTACGATGAAGCTTCTTCGAGATTTCTAGGATGCACGATCAAAAAAACATAAGCAAAGAAAAAGTGAAGACGATTTTTCGCTCCATCTGAAAAAATACTCAATTTATCCAAGCAGAAAATAACGGAAATTTGAAAGAAAGAGAGGTACTAAATAAAAAAAAATCATGTCATTTATGAAAGATCGAACCTCAGACTATCCTCCCATGCATTTATCTCAATTTTCATGTTTTTGACGTAAATTGACTTTCTTTCAGTGATAGGAAATTTCACAAAAATTTATATCCTAGTGAATATTCAAATCTTTTAATTATTGATCATAGGTTTTTTTAAGCATTTAAATTTATTATAAAAAAATTCTTTTTATAACCTAGTATCAATTGGCTTGCTAATGAAATATCATCATTAAATCGTCAAATAAAATTAATTAAAGATCAAATTTCATTTATTATTCATAATCGAGAACAGCATATAATCATTCAACATGAAAACACAAATAACATAAATAATATATCATCATCGAAAAATAATAATACACAAAATATTTATATAATAAAATTACTTTCATACGAATTACTTTTTAATGATTATTTACAAGATTTAAGCGATATATATGAAATATCATTAACAAAAACAATTGAATGTATTGCTGTTTTTATTGAAAAAGATTCTATTGAAAAATATCTTTTCATTAAATTATCTAATGGAAATATTGATACATATCAAATGAATAAAACAAAATCATTAAAAGAAACATATTGGAATATCAATCAATCTATATCAATATGGGTTGGTACTGGAAAACAACTTGAATATTATCAACGATTTATTCAAGATAATAACATAGATGAAATTATAAATAATGATCAACTTATGAAAATAAAAGGTGAATAACATATTTAATAGTGAACAAAAGGATATGAGAATATTTCCATTTAGAATTAATAGGATATTTAATAGAAACATAGAAGGAAGGAGGATTTATCATTATGACCTGATTTTACTTGTACAAATTGACAAATTCTTCTAAAGAATCCTTCGTACAACAACAAAAAAATTCTCTATACTCTAAGATAAAAATAACTCTCGATCGTATTTTGCTTAATTTCATATTTTATATGAATTCAGTTTGTTAACTTTAACATGTAATGCATATTTTCTATTAAAGTTAAAAAATAGCACATTTTACCTTGAAATATAATATAGTAATGCATATTCAGGTCAAGCAGTGAAGGATACTTCAAATGCTATGTTTACACTTTAAATGCGTATAACTGTAAAAACAAAATTTGCGTATTTGTCGTGTGTGTACTGTTTTATTAGCAATATGTTTTAATATGTTCACACATAAGAAATTCAGAAATATCAAGTCTAACAATAATATTGGTTATGAAATAGTTCGGTACTTTTATTTCATCGGTTATCACTTTTCTCAATGACAAAAAAAATGACTTTCAGAAAATGTATCAATTAGTCAATCTTTTCAAAAACTTTAGAATGAATGTTAGGTAAAGCATTTATGAGAGATAGTAATAATGTTAAAACTCATAAGAAAACATATAAATTGGAGTAAATATAGAACAAACGTGACATATTGATTTATGACATTGAAAAAAAAAATGTAAATCGTTTTACTTTATAGTCAAAAATGATAGTCTTTAACGAGTATTTCTCAGCTTTATCTTTACGAATAAAAATTTCTTCTTCTTTTTCACATAAAAAAAGCTCTTGGATTGAGTTTGAAAAGTAGTGAAAGTCTATGAGTTTAAAATGTAATTATGATTATTAGGATATCATGTATAATGCTTTTCATAAAAAATATTTTCAGAACCGTATTGTAGAACTATTAACAATTGAAAATAAAATTTTACTTATGTAGGACGAGCGTAGAAAGTATTAAAAATAAACAACACTTCATTTTACCATGTAGTTAAAGAATTTGTCAAATATTCCTTTAGATTTTCATGTGTTCTTTCGAATCGTTCTGTTTAATTTTTTGTTTTTTCTTCTCAATTGCCTTGAATTCAAGTATGAATAGTTGAAGCAAAGGAAGCTTCAAAAGGTTGAAAAGTAAACTCTCGAATGTATCCTATAGAAAATTCGATAGCAACGGCAACATATGAATAGTTCTCATTATTCTTGAATGTGATAAGAAACCATAGAATTTAGATAACTAACGTATATATCGATCATAATTATACATACTGGTAGACATGGGGATGACGAGTCGTTTTGGTCCTGGACCGGAATCTTCTTGCCCGTATCTACATACTGGTTTCTAACTTTAATATTTTCCGTCGCAGAAAAGCTTCGATACGATCTATAAATGAGATAGCTTTGATAGTATATGAAATATTGAAATATGTTTTTTTTTATGCCATAATTTTATATTTTTATCAATAATTCAGATCGTCCACAATCAAATGATGTTCATTTCTTCAATTCGATAAATCCAATACTTCGCATTAAGTATCATACTGATCCATCAAGTCTTTCATGTATATTAGAAGATTTTTTCGATAATATATATAGTAAGTATTTCAATTGAAATTATCTCATTTGTTTATTGCTTTTATTAAAGCTTGTAATGGTCAATTAGTCTATCCTCATGAATTAAAACTTTTATCTAATGATAAAAATCAATTTATGTTTTATGCTGTTATGGTGAATGTAAGAACTCTTAAGAAATTTTTATTTTTATTTTTTAATAAAAATTATTTCCTTATTAGACAACTATAGAAAAGCATATTTATCCTCTTGAAACAAATCATCATATAAGACATGGCGATCAACTAGTTTTTCTTTTTAATAATCATCCACAAATGATCTCATTTACATCATGTACCGATTGTCGTTATCCTGAACAAACCGATATATTAAATAATGATAAAAGCCTAACTGAAGAAAAACTTGATAAGTATGAAATATGATAAGAAAATTCTTTTCTATCTGTTTATCAATAAATTTTTCTTCGATTTAGTCTAATAGTTTCATCACAACAAATTATAAATATTGAACAAAATTCTTATATTACAAATTCACAAAATTATATTGTTTATTTCATTGTAGCAAGTATTTTACTCTATATATTACTCAGTATTTATTTAAGTGGTAAACAACAATCAACAACATGTTTAGCAAGAAAACATTCGATATTACCACGTCGTGACCGATAATAATTCTAAGAATTTTATTTTGAATAGCAAAGAAAAAGATAATTTTTTTTTTTAAAATAGGAATACTACTTAATTAAACTACGAATAAATTCCATGTAAATGTGATAAAGAAATAAAAAAAAAGAAAAAAAAAGAAAAACAGATATATCTATCCAATGCGCGGATATGACAAAAAGAAAGAAAGAAAATACTATGAACGTATATTATTTGTTGGCGCATGTCGTTCAACTAATATATTATTATTATTTGAATATCGAGATCGACTTGTTCCAGTCGATGGACGTTTATTAAAAGTTACATGACGATGTTGATTATTATTTGTACCTACATGCTAAAAAGAAGCAACAACAACAATAGAAAAAAGTTTGTTTTTTTTTTAATAAAACTAAATACATACACGAATAGGACGTGCTTCTCCTGTACGATAAATTGTACTTGGTAAATGTTCTTTATGAACATGTGTTGGAAATGTATGACAATACGATGAAGATTTTGAACCATTTTCTTCATCACCAGTTAATGGAATACCTTCATCAGTGAATTGTTCATCAACATGATCATGATCTAGAATTTTAATTAAGAGAAAAAAAAGAAATTAATCAAACGTAAATTCTATTTTTCAGGTAATAATAAGACTGTAATGTAAATTTATTTGATAATATTTGTTTTAGATTATATTCTATTCTTTTTTTGACACGTAAAGTAAAGTAACCAAAAAATGTTTAATGTACGTGAATTATCTGAATTCTATTATAATACTAAATCATAATTTCAAATACCTTTTTTTGAAGTCAAAGTTATCATTGAAATATGAGTAGATGAGTGATACATAAACATGTGCTAACAGAAGACATGTAGCTATGATTTAAAAAAAGATAAAATTTAATCCTAGACATCTGTTACTGAGAATGCATTAACTAAAATTCTATCATGAACGATACAATGTGCAACATTGTTTCATGCATCATCTTAAAAATCAATAGTCACAATGATATTTGATTAACACTCTTAATCGATTATCTAAGTTTAAAAAAAAAAACTAATCAAATTGCTTTTTCTACCAAAGTTTTTTAATCCCTCTTTTTTTTTATTGATAATAAAAAGTTTACTATTGAAAAAAAAAACAAAAGAAAATATAAAAGGATATTGCACATTTCATATGTAAATTTATCGTCAAGGCGTTCTTCCTCTTCAAAATAATATTTTCAAGTTATTACATGGTATTGAGCTGAAACTTTGTGTATGTATTGAGACTATCTAGTCATATATAGAAAAAATTTTTCAGGCTCATATTTCATTTTCTGTTAGAGCTATAGCGATTTGAGTATGCAATTCGAGACTTTTTACACCTTCAATGTTATTCGATCAAATCAAAAGACAGAGTTAGGTTTCTTTTTTTATTTGAAAGAAGACACTTGGTGTCGATAACTCTCATGGTCCTATGTTTTAATTCCTTGAGACATGCTTGATTCAATGAAAAAACACTCATATTTTGATAATGAAAAAAATGTTTTTTCTTCTTCAATTAAGATCTATTTTAAAAAAAGGCTAAGAGAGTCATTGGCTCTAAGAGTTAACTTCAAAACTTAAAAAAAGATTGACTGTATCTCTTGAACTGATCGAATGACATTGGAGATGCGATCAGTCCTTCAATGTTTTCGACAGATCACAAGAAATGCAATTGAAACTTTTCTTGACATGTGAATTAATTCAATTAATTAAAAATTTCTTACGATTACAACATCGTCGTTGTTTTTCTTCATTTGTTGATGTTGTTGTCTCTAATTCATTGTCAGTTTTAAGTAAAACAGACATTGCTTCCATATTTAAGGCACAAACTCCACGCATAAAAGCTTTTTTTAAGGCTTCATCATGTTCACCATTATCAATTCTTAAACGTGTTATTTCTTCATTTGCATTTAATAATTGTAATTCTAATTGTTTATATTTTAATTCATATTCATTACCTAATTCAATCAACACATCTTTAGCTTTTTTTTCACACGCTACTTCAAAACGTTTTTTCCATTCTCGTTCAACTTCATATTTCCAATTTGTTAATGCTTTCTAAAAAACAAAAGGAGGAAATAAACTAAACTTTAAAAGAAAAAAATCATTTTCTATTATTTAACATACACGTTTCATTTTATCTTCATAGAATCGTCTAGCAAGCATTAATGCATATTGTTGTCGTCGTCTTTCAATATGAGCTATACGCCATTCATAATACCGACGATAAGCAATTGTTTTGTTATATAATAAATCTAATGCTTTATTAAGATTTTTTTCAGCTTGATCTTTTTGATCAATTTTATGTTCATAATGTATTAACATGTCACGCATAATTTTTATATCTTGATTTAAACGTATATATTCTTTAGCTTGACTAAATAACAAAAAAAAAAAAGAAAAGATTTCTTTTTGTAGCTTATAAATATTTTGACTTACGCTTGTTTTTCACGTAGAATATTTTGTTGTGCTTCTTCAACAAATTGTAATCGTAATTTATCAAATTCAGTCTTTGAAACAAAAAAATACAAAAATTATAAAACTAAATTAAAGAATAGAAAAATTTTTCTTTTTTTTTTACGATTAGATTTTTTTTGAGATCTAAATACCAATGATCCATTTTTTCAGTTATTGGTTTTGATTCTAATTCATTTGATATTGATTCAGTATAACGAAAAAGATGATGTACGAGTGGATCATCACATTCTTTTGATATTAATTGATTTCCTGTATTTTGTTGTTCATTTACTGAAAATGTTGCTGTACTAAGTAATTGTTGAAGTGATGGAATTTGTGATAATTGTTGTCGTTGGGTTTCTATACGAAAGCTTGCTATCATCTTTTGAATAATGCTTATGAGAGAAGTTCTCGAATTGATAAATCACTTTTCATCCGAAACTATGTGCACTATGTAGACCCAAATCAGCTATGAATATTCTGGAAAGACTTTATGCTCCTAACTTATTGCAGCGGAAATACGGTACTTTTACGGTATTTTTTAAATGAATACTTTCGTGTACCGATCAAAAACATCAGCAGAACTGATTTTTGAATTTTGACTTGAATCTTTGTATTGAGACAAAGAATAGTTTTCTGCGAATGCTTCAGATCTTGTCGTTGTTCCTATCCGAAGACAGAACTATGGTAATAGCATATCTTTTACATTACTCATATGCTCGTATTTCAGGATAGAAGCAAATCAAAGGACCTGAAATTTTTATAATAAACTATTCTCCTTAGGGTCTGTCTCAATGCAAAGTGTCAAGTCGAAATTTGAAAATGAGGTTTTTTTTCATGTTCCTGAGCGGGGGAAATATGGCATTGAGTTAAATAATACCGTAAATATACAGTATCTAAGCAGAAAATATGTTAAGAACCTGAATTGTTTTCAGGGTATTCATAACTCACTAGAGTCTACATGATGTACATAGCCCAGACTTCAAAGTGATTAATCAATCGAAGGACTTCCCTCGTCAGATCATCTTGAGAGATTTTGAAAGCTATATTAAAATAATTCTTTCTCTGCGTTAGGATGGACTCAACCTAATATGAACCTACTTTGAACTAGAATACTGTCTCTACCATTAGCTGTCAAGATATGTATTAATAACATTTGATCATATTTTCTTTGCTGTTTATTCTTTTCATGAGCTACTCTTTGTTCTTCTCGTATTTTTCTCTTATCTTCTCTAAGGCTTCATCGGATTTGATACTCTATAATTTTTTGGTTATTCAATTTCATAAAGCAAAATGAAAAAGATCAAAATGATTGCAATTCATTGCTACATGCTGTATGAATAACTAGCTCGACGATTTGATGAACTTATTTCTGTATCTTCTTGTTGGTTCACTGCTACCAGCTTTTTATATAACATAATATACATAAACGGCTAAGTATTAGACAAGACGCGAAAAAAAGAAGAAAGAAGAACAACGAGAAGATTAAGAAGAGGATCTACAACAAAGATAATATAATCTAATGTTATCATCACATTTTATGACAACTAACTCTTATCGAAATTTTACTACTATGATATCAGTTGAAGAGCAATGAAGTACCACAAATATATAGAGAACTGATTTTACTATTAGTGTATATAAAGAGAAAATTTCCTCGAATTGTCTATAGAATATTGAAATCCCTCTATCATTACTTTTGGTATGCTTTAAGTAATTTAAATTTCTGAAATCATAGTTTTAGTTTATTGAAATTCTTCTTCTAACATTTCTCTGTTTAAAAAAACAAACAATCCATTAATCCTGAATACGTTTAATTCTTAATAATCCATAAGTCTAACTTTTAAAAAGCAAGGTATTCTAAGAGTGATAATTTACTATTGTTTTTTTTTTTGTTATATAAAAAATCTATTGTTTTCTTACCAATTTCCGATTGGGTCATATCAGTACGATGTGTACCTGGGCTACTCAGATCAATAAGATCAGTTATAGGAACATCTAAAACAAAAACAAACAAAATTATATGTTTAAAATAAGATTTTAAATAGATTTTATTTTCGAACTTTTTTTATTTTTTGTTCGTTGTCCAAGTCCAAGTGCACTTTGATTCAGTTTTACATTTGTTGTAAGACCATCAGTAGATATAACAACAGCTCGTCGTAGTAAATTATCATATTCATTCTGAATGATAATAACAAAAAAAAAAAAGAAAAGTAAACAATCTTATTTAATAAATTGTAAAAAAAAACAGAAGAAAACGACATAATGACTAATATATATTAATATGTGAGCACATAGCAAGATATCCTACAGCAGCCAACCTGCAATCGTGAAGATACTGAAGAACCAGGAGAATCAGGTGGTAATACAGGCGGACCGGATGTAATTGACATTTTCGTTTATTTTTAAACACTCATCTAAAAAAAATACATGAATAAATTTATTATTGATATATTTACTATGTATAATTTACTCAATTCTTCGATTTCAATAATTCAAAATATCAGATGGTATGACATTGTGTTTTGTAATATGAGTAAGAAAAAACAAATATTTGACTATTTTACATTAGTGTGTACGCAAGAAAATCAATGAACTCGTCAATCACGTCTTAAAAGTACTAGAAGACAAAAAACAAAACAATAATAAAATGACTTTATTTTAGTTAAACATTCTAAATCTAAATCAGTTTACTGTACTAGTGAATACACAGTTTTCTTTCTCGAAGAAAGATGTGAGAGTTCCTAGTCTTTTTTGCTTAACAGTAATAAATAATATTTATAAAGGTATTCAAATTTATGAACGACAATGGACAAACACTGTTCAGTCTGGGAATACGATATTTATGTACAAGAAAAATAAAGTTGAACAGTATTGAAGAATATATCCTTTAGATATGTATGATAAAATGTTGAATAGAAATGAGAAGAATTTTTCAAAGAACATTAAAATCAACCACAATAAAATCTAGGTAATAGTGATTCATCTATACTTGAACATCTATCGGTGGCTGAATGGTTGCTAAGTTACTATTATCAAAAGAGACTGTAATGGTTTGATTAAAATAAAAATTAATATTTTTTTAAATTCATTGAAAAAAGCAAACAATTTTGATACAATTCTAATGAATTATTTCCTATATTGAAAATGATCAGCATCAAACAAAAGTTTTATTTAATTTTTTTGCCAAAATCATTCATTAATTGTTATTGAAATCTTATTAAATTTCATTAGCTCTTCATCGAATAAATCATAAAGTATATTTTCAACATATAAAAAAAAATCAATCTATTAATCTGAACATTTTAAGTCAAAATTTTAATTCATTAATTTAATTATCAACAGATGTCGTCTTTGTAGTCTTCATATTTGAAGGATAATGTTAAGCAACATGTATAAAAAATGGATGTTTATCTTAATTTTTTTTCTTTTTTGTCCTGTGATAATATTCATAGTACATATTTTTTTGTTCTTCTTTTCATTTGAAATCATTCTTTACATCATGGCACTTGCAGTGCAATCTGTTTCATCATTATCATCAGCTGTTACAACAGTTTCTACTCGTTCATCATCATTACGAACATCACGACCTACAACAGCATCTACAAATCGAACTATGAATACAAAATTTGTTGTTGATTGGAGTGATTCAACAACATTAACATCACCAAATAAAACAAAAACAAATGATAATAATTTACAAGAAGCTTTTCAACAATTTCGTGAACAACGTATGGTATGTTTTAAAGAAAAAAAAAAACAGAACATCGAAAAATTAAATCGTCGAATGAGCGTCCTTAGGCCATCTTTACCGGACAGTATTAGCAATTCAAAGATTTTTCGAACTAATGCTGTTTGGTAAGATGACATTCAGCTGCTCAATAAAATATTTATTCAAAAATTTACTTACCTGTATATATTTCAGCATCATCATCTTCATGTATCAATTGTACATTGATATGTGATGAATAGTATCAAAAAAAAAAAATCATGCCTATTTATATACGAAATTCAATGTTGACCAACAATTTTCTCTCTCTATGTATGTGTGCTATTTTTTTTTCGTTAACGATATACCAAAAGGGCGTAGTTTAAATGAATTATATATTGACGAAGGATTATTGTTGATGGGCACGAGTTTGTCCGCCTTAATTTAACGATTGGATCATTTCTGTTCAATCTTTCGATCCTTTTTCTAACATATATCTTTATATAAATAAAATAGATATAGATAAATGACACGTGTAATTAGTTTGCCAATTAGGTGATGGACATTTATTTGTATTTCTACGTATACATAAGGATATCCTGTTTACAAAGATGTCACATCCGTGTGTATAGAACATTCATTTTTTTTCTTCTTTATAATACTTAATGTTTAATATTTACCTATGAAAGAGAAATAAATAGAAAATTCAGTATTTTTTTTTTTTTGCAATATATTAATCTATGTGCATCATCGTTTTTTTTTTATAATCAATAGATTTATTATATAATTATCTATAGAATTGTGTATTAAAGTATACATTTTTTTTTTTGATACATTAACAATTCTGAGAATGTAGCCGATTTTTTTTTAAGAAATTTGATTTTTACACGTTTTAAGTCTTCTCACTTTCAAAAAAACTTCATTTCGACTAGAATTTTCTATGACTTCCGTTACCTTCAGCTCAAAAGAAAAAGTGGGAAATATTTTTCGTTTTTTTTTGTTTCTTATCGGACAACCCAAAATTTACATAGGAACTTCATTCGATAGATTTTTTTTTCTGTTTGAAAGAACATGTCAAGATACAGAATTTGACCGAGTTGCTTTGTTTTTTAATTAAACTTTGTTATTACTATTTATACATACAGTTCAGTAAATAAATGAGCAATTTTTGAGAGGCTTTTGAGCTTTCTAACGTACCTCCGTTTTCTTCCATTTACGAAGTAAGAATTTCAAAAATAATGAGACTTTGCCAGATCTTGCATCTTGACATGCACTTTTAAAACAAAAAAAACCATGTTAAATAAATAGAATACGAGTTCACAGAGTAATTTCTGTTCCCAAATGAGCTAATTTTTACTTTTATTTGATGAACATCTATCGAAAACGTTATGATATAGAACTAAAAATTTCAAGTGATTTGACTTGAAGTCGATTTTTGAAAATAGAAGAAGCTTAATCTGTGTATTCATCATTCGACAGAACAAAACACGAAAGTATTATGAATATGAATGCTAAATTCGTAATTTCGTATTATATTGTTAAATTTTATTTTAGAAATTCTATTTTCTTCATAATTATTTTATTATAAAAATATTTTCATTGATATAAAAGATACGAAATAAAAATAATTAAAGATTTTGATATAATAGTATAAAATCATATATCATTATTTCAATCAATAATGACATCATGACAGAAAACTGTCATATGTTGATAAAGATCATTTATCTTCGAGAAATCAATACACAAATGAGTGTATTCTATTATTTAATTTGATTCAAAATGTTTCACTAATAAGAAAATATAAAAATAAAATTTCTTTCGAAATGATAAAAAATAAATTGATATATTAGAAGATATTGTATGCAGTATTTATTCTTTTATATATTGTTTCTATTTAGAATGAAATATGTCTTCAACAACGTGTAGAATTAAAACGAAAAAAGAAAATTTGTCGATCTGATTCTGGACGAATGTATCGTTTAAGATTAAAATTTGTTGAACAAGCAAAACGATATCTTGGAATACCTTATGCAAAAAAATATTTTGAACCTGGAAGTAAGAAAACCAAAAAAAAAAATATTTTAAACTCAATATGAAAAATTTTTTTTTAGCATCTGAATATGAATCAAAATTATTTCTTGATTGTTGTGGACTTGTTCGACGTGTTATGTATGATTTATCAAAAGATTTTGGATTTGTTATTGGCCCATGGAATCAATCATATATGTTTGATACATTACCAAAAACTATAACACATCTATCTAATGTTCAACCTGGTGATCTTGTTTTTATATCAGCTACTTATTACAATGAGAAGAGTGAGTAAGTTTTGTGTTTTTCGTAACAAAAAATAAAAAAAAAGAAAGAAATATATTTAAATAATATTTTGATATTTTTTATAGTGAAAAAACAACGACATAATTTAACACATGTAGAAATAATGTTAGGTGATGGAGAAAAAACTATTGGAGCACGATGGAATAATGGTAAAGTACAATTTTTTGATAGTTATAAATTTATATCAAAAAGTTATCATTCACAAATTTATACAATTAAATCAATTGATCATTGGCTTAAAGGAATATGTAAAAGGTAAAATATTTAATATGAATAGAAAATTATTTAAATATTCTCTAATAAAAAAATAAAAAAACTAATTTACTGATTGACTATAAAAAGGTTGAAAAGTACTTTAGAAAATTTTAATTAGTGAGATGCATGTTTTATTTTATGGAATAATACTAATATTCTAATAGAGATCAAAAAGAACAAATTTAGCGTCATTTACTTCATTTAGCAATTGTAAAATGATAAATCATCTAAGTATTCTATAGTAATTATATCATCAAGATTGTCCATGCGATGTTAAGTAAAAATGGAGCGACTACAGTCATGACAATAGAATTTCAGTTGTAAAATAGTTCTTTGTTCGACTCTTTTAATTAATCTATATCAAGTGTTACTCATCATTATTATTACTGGTTACAAACTCAAATTAGTAGAGTTATAAGAAAAACAACAATGAACTAAAAATACTTAGAGTCAATAATTATTGGAGGCATCAATTTTTTTTAACATTTTCCCAACATATCAATTTACTCTATGACACCGATCTAATAGAATTGGTGTTGATTCAACTACGTGCATAATTTATGCAAGTGCAAACTATAACATTGATATTATTAAATTTGAATGAAGTTATTTTTACTGTGTAGATGTAAAATGAGTGATAAATGAATCATGCCTTTTTGAATAATATAAAAATTGCATTTATTGTTAATTTGAGGTGTTTCTTCCTGTATAAAGTTTGAACTCTACTTATCATTAATTATTTCTTTTTTTTTTTTGAACAATAACTTCTCTCGGAAGATGATGTATTTAGTTACACATTTATAAAGACGGCTAATTTTGAATTGAAATTAAGTCTTTCATTTTCAAGGTTGTTTCGTCATTTTATTTTATTTTATTTTTTGTAATATGGAATCATTGGTTCTGATTCTGATTCGAAATCATTCATAGAAAGAAGATCATAATAAAAGCTGTAGGTTTCCATCTTTTATCGATAAGAAATTATTTTAGAAAAAAAACGGTTGTGAAATGCTTCTTGACTAATTATTAGTTCTAATAAAATTTTTAATATAAAAATCGTATTATTTATGAATTTATATCGTAAAACAAAATAATTTTAGAAAAAAAACAAAACATTTTTCATGTTACTCATTCATTACGAATGAATCTAAAATGACTTAAATTATCAAGAAAAAATGCTATTTTCACATTTGTAATCAAGAAATTTTTAAAAAAGCTACTCTGCAAATAGATTATATCCGTTGTTCTACGTATATATAAATCTGAAAGACATCAACATAATTAGTCTGTGTAACTAAATCAATATATTTTTTCACATTTATGAAAGAACATCTTTTTCCAACTGTCAGATCTTAGCCAGGGAATGATGAAAAGAACTTTAATTTGTTTTTACGCATTTATAGCTTATTAAAGACTCTACACAGTATTCAAGAATCATCTCGATTTGATGCTTGATTACTCCAAATAGACAGCATCTATGAATAAAGTCAAAAATGAACCAAGAGGAAGTAAAAAGTTAATGATAATTTGTAAAAAAAAAACCAAAGGAAAAAAAACTTCCTTTTGAAAGATGTAATAAGATCTAGGAAAATATATTAATCTTGTAATTTAGCAAAAAGTATTCCATACATTTGAATTGAATAAGTTTTAGATGAATTTAAAATTAGAAATCGAAGAAAAAAAAAATTTCATTTCAATGTTTCTAATTTTACTATAAATTCATATTAATATCATCTAATGTAAATGATAACAAAAGATGAAGTTTTAATAATTTGTTAGAAAATTAATCCAATAATTGTACTCATTATCTAACTCATCCATCGAATAGAATTAATACTGTAAAATACATCATGATATGTTGTGAGTTTAAACGAATAATACTATTACATTGATATTTTCATTTAATTATTATAATTCTATTTAACAATCAACATCCATGTACTATTAGATTCTATGTGTTTTTCGACTTTATCTAGAAACACTCATCTTCAACTACAGAAAATAAATGTTTCTCTTCGAGAACGAATAATATTGAAGGTCGCATATCATCAAATATCGTTTCCATTATCGATCCATTATATGTTCTATAATTAAATTGACCTTTTCTTTTTTTACACATTTACAAACGGATACAAATAGATATTATCATTGTTATTTTTATTAATAAAGTATATTTATGTATTTAATTAACTTTCAATATAGTAACATATGAATAATTATTAAATAGCTATTTTTTTTCTTTCTCAAAGTGTAAACTCTGATAATTATACAAAAATAGAAATATTATAGTCGTTCTATAGAAATTCTAATACTTAGATTATGTTCATAAGTCTATCAATAATTGTATTAGTATTTAAAAGCAAAAATTTCATTTTGAATCTTTTTATATAAAAAAAAAAGAATCATTAATTAATTTATTTTTAAGTTATTGTTCGGAACATCCATGGCGTCGACGACGTACAATTAAAATTGATAAAAAATCCATATTTTTTTCATCTGATCAACCCAATGAAAGACGACATCGTCGTCGTGCACATAGTAGTAAATCAAGAAAAGGAACAGCCGGTTCATCAACATCATCAATAAATTCTTCAAATAAAAAAGTTCATCATCGTCGAAAACGAAGACGACGAACAAAACGTTCAAAATCACATAAACGTTCAAGTTCAGTTAAACTTTCGTCTGAAAAAACAAATCTTACTACAAATGATGAACGTACACTTTTATCAACAAGATCAGATATTCAATCAGTTAGTGATAATGATGTACTTGTTAGTGATGATGATGATGATTCCGTTGATGTTATTGGTAATCAATTAGCTGAAATGAATTGTCAAGATGAACAAGAACAATGTGATGATTCCGATTCATTAGATGAAGCTTTAGATGCTGAATGTTTGGATGATAATAATGGAAATAATATTATTTAAATTTTAATATTACAAAGTATATTCAATAAGAAAATCAATCAACTATTATAGGCTTTTTTTTTATTCATAGTGTTAACAAATAGGAATGTTCAGTAGATATTGTTGCTTGTCTACTTATCTTATGATTATTATTATTATTTTTTTTTGTACATTTATATTAATCATGTAATCATTTTATTTATACTTTTTTATTTAATATAGATTCTTTATTCTTATAATAAAAACTTTAAATATTATCTGTCAATATATGAAAATCTTAGGATGAACGTTGAATCGGATTGTCTGTTTTTTTCTATTGTATAAAAGTATTTGTTTGCAAGAAAACAACAAAAAATAAATGATTTCGAAACATTGTGATATTTTTAGCATCAAGGAATGTTCATTAAAGAAAAAACAAAATCTTCTTGTTTCAATCCGTCATCAAAGAAAAGAAAAATCTTTCAAAGATTTCTTTGTTCAAATAGATTATAAATAAGAAAATAAGTAAAAAACAAGACTTCTACTATTAATTAACGTACTATTCATAATTTTTTTCTTCTTCTATTTTTTTACAAATTATCTTGATTTTATATGATGAGTAATCAAAATCTATTAGAAAAATAAAAAGAAAAAAAAAAACAATCTTCTAATGATTATACTGAAGAGCACTTTTTTTCTTTTATTGAATTTATTATGTTTCTCGCGAGATTTCTATGTTCCTTTTGTCGCATATTTTTTATTTCTTTTTTTTTTCGTGATAAATTAGCTTGCCTAATTTAAGAAACATAAACAAATAATCGCATGGATTTTTCTTACTTCGTCATTATGATCACATGTTATTGTTTATCACAGCTTTTTTAAGTGTCTTTCTTCAAGAAAATTTTCCTTCTTATTTAATTATATAAATAACGAACATATTTACGGACGAGATCCTTAGTATGACAGAATAGAATGGATATATTTCTGTTCCTAGCAATATTACATATTATCTAATCAGTCTACTAGAATGTTGTTGATGGCTATAGAAAGTAATAGAGAAGAAGAGAGAAAAGAAAAGTTGCTTTTTTTGTCGGTACATTCATGCACATAATAAACATTCCCGAAAGCACAACATACGTCTTATCATAACAATATAAAAACTATAAAATATTATTGTTAGTCTTATTTTTCTTTCTATCGAAGTTTGGTAAGATATCATATGAATGTTTAATATAACTTTCTAAAAATATACTGCATTTTTTTAAAAGTAGGTCATAATACTGAAATTGAGGAATATGTTATATAGTATTTCAATAGTTTTTTGTCTGTCTATTTTCATTTTGTATGAAAGTAAAAAAATAGCTCAGGTTTGAAGGATCATATAAGAAATAGAAAGAAGAAAAGAAGGTACTCGTTTTTTTTTCTCTTTTATGTGTCCGATATAGAAAATATATTTGCATTTTTCTCTTTTTATTTTCTATTCTGACCTTGCGCAAGACTAGTCTGGTTGGTTATTAGCGTCATAAAAAATGAATATATTGTATGTTAGATATTGTCAGTACTGAGTTAATAATTTTATTTATGCCATGACCAAATAATCTTAGAATTTGTTATTTTATGTCAATTTCCTATACATCTCATCGAAGAAGAGACATAGAAGAGTCAGTTAGTCTAATCATAAGAACATTTTCTTTTTTAATGTCTACACACAATAATTTTTCTCTAAGTATTCTTTTGTTTTTATATTGTAGAAGCAAGATATATAAGACAGCAAAAGAAAAAAAGGAAAAAGAAAGACATGGCAATAAGAACACCTTTACAACAAACAACAGAATCTAATATACTTGATCGAACATCAAGAAAGCTGGAATTTATGTATGTATGTACGCTTCAAGAGTTGTATGTTTGTTTACGTTGATAAATGTTCTTTGTCTTTTTCCTTTGTCTGTAATAACACTTAACACATTTTGCAAGTTGCAATTTCTTTTAATCTTTTTTGTTTTTCCTTCTTTTATATCTCTTGAGTCAATTTCTTAGACTATCATAGACACTATCAAACAATTATTTTGACAAATACTAATAGCAAAAAATGATATTCGACAGAAAGAATAGTTGTCTATCTTTCCTCGTTGACTTTTTTTTTCTTTTTTTTCTTTTTTTTTTCCTCTACTATGCTATTTCACCAATAACACACAACATCAAGCATTCTTTTCTTCGTATTTATTTTAAACTTAGTTCGATGCATACCACTATTACAATCACTTATAATTACATCTGTTGTTCTTAGTTTGCTACTAAATAAAGTAGAAGAACAAATACTCATTTACTCACTATTCTTTTTACCTTTTCTATACTTTATTTAATTGAAATACATTATTAAAATTATCAAAGATAGTTTTTTTTTTGATTACAACTAAATATAAATGCAAATTTCTAGCAGGTAATTTATGTGTTTTAACATATAATAACAAACAAAACATATTATAAAAATTATTCATTGATGATTAAAGTTAAATCGATTTTTGCTTTTTTTCTTTTTTTGAAATTTTTTTTTCCTTTTTTAGGAAAAGTAGTTGTGGTGATTTACAAAGTAGACTCAAAGTTCGAAAAGTATTAGGTGTTGGTGATGCAGCAGGTTCAATATGTAGTTCAAAAATCAGTCAAATACTTGGACAATCAGATAATTTAATTTTTAAATTATCACCTAAACTTGCTTCATGGTTATTTTTAATAGCAACATTATTTAGTTGTTTCACTGTAATGGTAATAAAACAAGAAAAAAAACTATTAATTTTCTATATGAAAAAAAATATTTTTTTTAAATCTAGGGAATACTTTGGCCATCTTGTTTGCATCTGCTTTTACCTGGTAGTCTTGAATCAACCGTACATTTGGCTACATCGTATGCTTGTAAATAATAATCAGTTATTTATATTTCTCTTTAATATTTAATGTATAGTTCTAGCAACAGTGCTCGGTCTAACACTTCGATCAGGCGACAAAACATCATTACAACTTGTCCTTTGTTCTCTTGTTTTATTTCATGCTTTATCTTTTGTTAGTAAGTTTTGTTTTTTTTGTATTCATTAGCATATTTTTGATGATATTAATTAATTATAATTTATATTCAGTTGCTTTATGGCTTCTCAAAACCAGTGATACAAAAGTAAAATCAACAGTATCAAGTATTCTTCATTTATTTTGTTTATTAATAAATATACATTTTTATCGATCTATTAATCGAACAGTATCAACATCACTTCGACATAGTAAACTAAAAACATATTTTAATTCAATGATATCATTTCCATCATCAGCTGTAATTGATCGTACTTCTGGACATGAATCTTCTTAAAAGAAAAAAAAACCAAGAACAAATTACATTTGTATATATAATTGTAATTTATATATTTCAAAATAAATTTAAAAAGAAAAGTTCTTTAAATCTAAATATAATTGTCATATATGAGTTTTTACATTTATTTCAATTTGATATTATAACCTAGATTTAACTTGTATTTTCCGTTCATTTTCTCTTATGTTTAATAATGAAGAGTCCGTAGGATATATAATATATATTTAAAAAAAAAAATTGTCAAATTATGATTGACTGAAGAGGCCCTCTAGTCTATAGAATTACTCTGGGTAAAATAGAAAAATCCATTTAATGCTAAAAATAGACGAGCAAAGAAAAAAATGTTCTCGTTCATTTAATTAAACTTGACAGACTTGCCCCTTTTATTTTTTCTTTAAAGAAATAAATAAAAAACCTCAATTGAATTTACAAGAATCGTTTTTTACGCTTGAAAAAAAAGCTCTTTGTATTGTATATCTTGAATAATAAAATATAATATATCTTTGGAAATCGCTATCTACAATAAAATCCTTAGGGTATAAAACAAAAACTGTAGATTTATCTGTTATTAGCAATTCTTTGAGTGATTAAAAAAAAGTACTAGTCTCTAATGTAATTGAAAAGAAAATGATAAAATTTTATTTATTTGTGATTATGAGAAAAAAAAAAGAATCTTTGAAATTTTTTTATAACCATTTCAAAAAAAAATGTGAGAAATAATTTAAATAGAACTTCATTGTATAAAAATTATTTTAATGATGTGATTGATTTTGAGTTTGTGTTTCTTTCATATTTTTATTTATTTTAACAAAATGATTTGATTTTAAGTTTATGCAAATAAAAATAGAATTCGTTTAAAATTTTGTCTGAAATTTATTTAAACAGTACATTTGATCAAAGCTATAGGATTGCGTTTTTTATTAAGAGTTTTAAAATCTACTTCACATCATTATTTTATAAATGATTTCATATGACAGAAAACTAAAGAAATTATTATATTCAATGATTTCCCATTTTTACATGTCACGAACTAAATTATACACAGACGGAAACTCGTTCTAACAAGTTCTTTGTGCTTTCGAGCTATTTTTAGATAACAAAGTGAATCTCTCTTCTCTTTTTTTTTAATATTTATTAACAGTTCATTATAACCATTTAAAAGCCTCTCGTGCAGAATAACAATATTTTATAAATTTTATGTAAAATAATATTTAATTATATTCTCGTTAAATATATTGTGACATGCCACTTTTATAAAAGCTTTTAGAAATTTTTATCCTATGTAATACTCTAAATTATACTAGAACAAACAGATTTATAATTTATTGGACCAATAGATATACCATACAAATTGAAATACAGTTGAAGTATTGTGTATACTAAAGATCCAACCAGAATATATTATTATCGATACAACCTTCGTTGATTCGGTTATCAATGGATACTCTTAATTTCATGATACATTAACTTTAATATTGTATGAATTACTCTTGATAATCTTCTTATTATACATATGGCGTGACCATCATCAGATATATGCTTTTGTTCAAAACATTGCGTGATCCAATGAATTCATACATGAACAGCTTTACATATCCACACATTTTTTCTTTTTTAGTGTTTTTTTGCCTCGTGTTCGCCTTCGTTTCCTTGATGTGTATATCTTGGCTTCTTGCATAAAATTATAATAATTAATGCTAATAGATCCTGTATTATATAAAGAGAAAAGATATTACTTAGGACAATCCAAAAGTAGTGACGGAGGCACTTTAATTTCCGGATAAAAATGCTTAAAGAAATTTTTACTCTATATAGACTGATAGGAAAAACGACGGTCTATCTTTCTATACTATTATATCATTCTTCAAGTAATATCATACTAATAAAATTTTGATAAGACCTGTTTTTTCTATTATATGTGATGATTATACACTAATGTCTATTTAGTGGATATTTTATGAATAACTTTTGATAGAAACAAACTAGAGAGTTGCAGTCTTCATCGTTCGAAAGAGGAGATGAAGATGCATTGAATCGTACATTATAGATGTTTTTTGACATGAATTTTTTGAAGTTTTCAATAGACCTCTTTGAAAACAAATCTATTCCATGAGGTGTTTACAATGAATTCTTAATTGTCAGGTGCGTATTCAAATTGCCAATGGAAGATTTATAAAACTGCACAAGGTTTAGATGTTTAGAATTAATCATTCAAGAGTTATAGGTATTCTAGTCGAAGCTCTATGTGATTTTTCTGTGGATTTCTGTAAAGAAAAAAAAGTTTTTTTGTTGTTTCCTTTTTGATAAGAAACCATTTTTTCCCACTTAGAAAATTGATTAAAAAAACTTCAAACAACATACTAGGAAAACCTATAATATACTATTTGATGCATCCTCATCTTCTCTTTCGAACGATGAAGACTGCAGCTGTCTAATTTGTTTCTATCAAAAGTTATTCAAAAAATATCCACTAAATAGACATTAGTATAATCATCATATATAATAGAGAAAACAGATCTTATATCGAAATTTTGTTATTATGATATTACATGAAAAATTATGTAATAGTATAGCAAAACAAGAGCGTCATTTTTACTATCAGTCCATATAGAGAAAAAGTTTCTTTAAACTCTTTATAAAGAATAAAAGTACTTCTACCACTACTTTTGGACTGCTCTAAGTATCTAACTATTATTAAGTATTTTAAAATAATCTAGTTTTCAATTTTGTAAATTAATTTGTTGGTATGATTTTATAAACGATTCCTAAGAATCTTTTTTTTTTTTTTACAAATAAATGTTGAAATGTAATAACAATAAATCAAGCACACATATGGATATAGATAAACAACTAAAGAATTTAACTTTCATTTATGTTTTTAGTTATACAAACACAATTGTATTAACTAGAGGCTAAAAGAAATACTAGGCACAACGATGAAATCATAAAGAAATAAAACACCCAAAAAAAAAAAATTAATAGCAAAACAAAAAAACAATATTTCATACGAGCACAACGATAAACAGATAAAAGAACAAGTTTTTTGTTTTTGTTTGTTATGGTATTATTCATTTAAATAAACAATATATTTAATAGATATTTGTGAATTATTTGATGAATGTTCAAGATAAAATGTACGCATCTTCGAATTTAATGATGACATTTCAGAAAAATAATTTGTTCTTAATGAATAAATTGATGATGAATCTTCTTGTTGAATGCCTTGGTTAATTAATAATCTTAAAGGAATTTCAATTGAACCAAGGAGACCTAAAATAATTGAATAACAAAAACAAAAAAAAAATTTTCAAATCAATTCAAATAATCTTACGATCTATTGTGTATTTAGATCGATTATAGATAGAACATTTAATAATATCATTATGTATATCACAAATAAAAAATCGAAATGAAACATTCCATTGTAAATTTGATGTATCACAAAGAACAGGCGTTGTTTGACGTTGACATTTATTCATTTCGATTATACAATACGGATTATGACCTAAATATATTATGATCTTATTTTTTTTTCAATCGAATTTATTGATTTAATAGAGCGGAAAAATTCAAGATCGATCAATAATGAATTTGTTTTTTTCCTATGTCGCTTCGAGATCGAAATGAATAAGAAAAATCTTCATTCGGATTCAACATAAATTAAATTTTCATGAAGATGTTCATAGAATAATATTTGAAAGAGATATATCAGATGGTTATGTTGGTTCGAAGTTTTTAAGAGTTAGTCGTAACTCGATACCAAGGGTTAGAGAGGTCGTTCACATGACCTCCAACCTGATCCATCGACCGGAATTTGAAGTGAGATTTTGTCGGTTGAGCTATGGGTGATCCTTCGATTGAAATCATGAAATCATGTATATTTCTAAGAGTTTATCTAATGAATATGCCATCACGATATGGCAGACATGATTCATTAGTGTCCTACTATTTATGTCAGTGTCGCATGATCAAATTAGTATATAAATGGCTTATTTTGTCGTTTTCTTTCTTTCTTTCATCTCACTGTTTCGCTCTTTGTCATTTCTATGTCGTTGAAATTGATTTCATAACTTTGTTTCCTATGTTTTTTGTTTTTATAGTATAGATCAGAATGACCCAACCACAACGATTTGCGTTACCCAATCCAATCGTAGAGCTAACGATTAGGTGGGAGTGTTTCGAAGTAATCAAATTCTGGAGTGAAATGAATGATTTCTACGGGAGGTAACCCTCAAAGAGAAAGACATTTTCTAAATCATCGAGCTAAAAAACTAAATTTCCCGAGACTAGACTTTGAGCTCACCTCCGTTCACTTGGTACATCCCTAGAACTGTATCATAGTTATGGATTGAAAAAAATTTTTTCAGCATCTCTGGTTCAAAAAACTATTCTCTTTTTTAGTAAGCTGAATTTTGAGAAACATGTTTTTAAAATTTTCCTGTAAGAGAAGTGTTTCAACTGATACATCCTCGGTTTGACCTCATAGTTTAGATGAAAACTCTAAAGTTGTTTGTGTCTTTCGACTTTTCTTCTCGAGTTATAGCCATTTTACTGAATTTTCAGCATGTTGTAAGATATGATAAAAAAAACAACAGCACTAAAGCATTTCGTCTGAGAATTTCTCTAATAACAAATCTCGTAATACGTATCATATTGTGAGAGTTTCTATTAAGATATAGAATATCTAAAGAATCGACTAGTTTGGGAGATTTTTATGAGAAAATAATGTTTTATAGAAGCGTGTTATTTCGGATGAGAAACATTCATTTAAGCTAAAACTTTCAGGATATAATAAGTACCATGAGATTATGTTATTAGGCAAAAAATTTCAGACGAAAACTTTTTACCGCGGTTTTTTCGTAATATTTCCCAACGTGCTGAAAATCCGATCAAATAACGATAACTCGAGAAGGCCTTAGGAGACAAACCGATTTAAGGTTTTCATCTAAACTATGAGTCCTATTTATGAACTCAAACAGAGAATCTCAATAAGAAAGATT